TTTATTTCTTTCAAGGAATTTATCCATTTCTTTTTTTTTTTTAATTTTTTAATATTTATTTATTTCTGAGACAGAGGGAGACACAGCATCAGTGGGGGAGGGGCAGAGAGACAGGGAGACACAGAATCAGAAGCAGCCTCCAGGCTCTGAGTTGTCAGCACACAGCCTGATACGGGGCTCCAACTCACAAACTGTGAGATCATGACCTGAGCTGAAGTTCGTCGCTCAACCGACTGAGCCACCCAGGCATCCCTGAATTTATCCATTTCAACTAAATTGTTGAACTGAGTGGTATAAAGTTGTTCCTAATATTCTTTGATTTTCCTTTTAATACTTATAAATTGTCATCTCTCCCATTTCTGTTTTTTTCTTTTATACACCAGTGTTTATTATTATTCTTTAAGCAAGATAGTATAATACAGTGTTTTTAGTTTAAATTTTGTGAGATGGTTTTATTTTTTTAAATTTTTTTAATATATGAAATTTATTGTCAAACTGGTTTCCATACAACACCCAGTGCTCATCCCAAAAGGTGCCTTCCTGTCAATCACCCACCCTCCCCTCCCCTCCCACTCCACTCCCATCAACCCTCAGTTTGTTCTCAGTCTTTGTTATCTCCCCTTAGTGTTTTGGCTCTCTCACTTAACCTCCTCTTTTTTTTCCTTCCCCTCCCCCATGGGTTTCTGTTAAGTTTCAGGATCCACATAAGAGTGAAACCATATGGTGGTCTGTCTTTCTGTATGGCTGATAATTTAGTGCCATCACACTTCCTCCAGTTCCATCCAAGTTGCTGGGCAATATATTTCTATTCTTCTCATCACATACACGTAGTACTGGTATTGTGTATATAAACCACACAGCCTTTTTATCCATTCATCAGTTGAGATGGACATTTAGGCTCTTTCCATATCTTGGCTATTGTTGACAGTGCTGCTATAAACATTGGGGTACAAGTGCCCCTATGCATCAGTACTCCTGTATCCCTTGATCTCTCCCATTTCTGATATTGATAATTTGTCTTTTCTCTTTTTCTGATCAGATTAAACACTTATTTATGACTCTGATCTTCTCAAAGAACCAATTTTGGGTTTCATCGATTATTGCTTTTTGTTTTCTTTTTCTGTTTTCCTCTATTATTTTTATTATTTCCTTCCTTCTGCCTATCATATAATTTTTGTTTTTATTTTTACTATGCCCTCCCTTTCTCTCTTTCTAGTCTTTTACTTATTCTTATTTATTTACTTATTCTTATTTATTTTTGTTTGGAAAAGTTTTTAAGGCTGTGAATTTTCTTGTGATCACTTTTAAATGTATCCCATGGATTCTGATATGTACTGTTTTCGTTATTAAGAAAACTTATAATTTCATTTTGTATTTTCTCTTTCATGTAATAGTTAACAGATAGTTTTAAAATTTCTAGTTGGGTGGGCCTTACTGTTTTTGATTTTCTCATCATTTATAGCTTTACTACATTGTGATCAGAGCAGAACTTGTAATATTCTTACTTTACGGAACTTTCTAATATTTTCTTCTCTACATGGCTTGCAAAAGAAATAGCTTGCTGTGACTTGGTGTTTACTTTTCCGTTTGTCAGTAATTTGAAGTTTGGACATTACCTTTCAGTTAGGGTGAGGATGTGGTTTTTTACATTTTTAAAAAATTTAGAAGAAATATAACATCATGAATAAAGCTAAAGCTATAATTTTCTTCCCTTTCCTCCCAAAGGAAAACCAGTGAACAGTGGCTTATGTATATTCCTGAAATACATGTGTATGATTCCCATCCATGTTTTTATGTTTACTAAGCATGTATCCATAAACCATATAGGCTGTTTCATGTTATTTTAAAATGTATGTAGATAGTATCATACTGTATGTCTTCTTTGCAACTTCACAGTCATCATTATATTTTGAGATTTATTAATGTAGTTACACCTCACTAGTGAATATTCTAGTTTATTCACTCTAGCTGTTGTATCCCACTGCATAAATAAGTTAACTATCCATTTCCCTTTTTTTTAATTATTAAAAAAATTTTTTATGCTTATTTATTTTTGAGAGAGAGAGCGAGAGCAAGCAGGGAGGGGCAGAGAGAGGGGGGGACACAAAATCTGAAGTAGGCTTCAGGCTCTGAGCTGTCAGCACAAAGCCCAACATGGAGCTTAAACTCACAGACTGTGAGATCATGACCTGAGTCAAAGTCAGACGTTTAACCTAGTGAGCCACCCAGGCACCTCACCATTTCCCTTTGTTGATTCCAATTTTTCACTATTATAAAGAGCTATGAACATTCTTATACATAATCATCATAAGTAAATTTCTACTTAGATACCAAGAAGTATATTTTTGAGTCACAGGGTACAAGCATTTATTTAGGTATTGCCAAACTCTTCTCAAAAGAAGTTCTGTTAATTTATAACCCACTAAAAATATCTAAGATTTCTATTTTCCCAAATTCTTGGCATCACTGGACATTTCCATTTAAAAAATTTTAAAAACTAATCAGAGTTAACCAAGCCTCTTATAAAAAAGAGTAGTATTTACAGATGGAAAACTGAGATGCTGAATTACTGCTTTATGTTTTACAGGTATTTCATTACTGAGTCTTAAACCACTAATTTTAAAGGTATAAAATAATTTCTTGATGTTTACTTTCTAGGTCCAAATAGTAATTTGAGCATAGCAGTTTGTCTGGAATACATGGTTTTGGTTTTACCATAAAACTGCTTTAACTCAATGTTAATATATCATCAGACTACATCATCATCTGAAGGATGCTCTCAGAAAATCTGTTGCTGTTACAGAGCTGCTGAGCATTTTTTAAACTGTTGTTAATTAAATATGACTATTCGGGAGACATTTTTATTTCGTCTTAGTACAAGAACAACTATACTTAAACATCTGGTTCACTGTTATTAATGAACATTGCTAGTCTTAGTTCTTTAATTATGCTAGGCATTTGGAAAGCTATTGGAAAGGTCTATGTATAGCAAATGTATAGGACCTTACAAGAACAACCTCCCTTCTTAGATTCATGTTACCATTTCTGTCCTCATTTTCTTTGTTGATATTCCTTACCTACTTTATGTATTTTTCTAAGTCATCTAAAATTAAGTATTTAGTTGAATTCATAATATTAAAATGATCAATGCTACAATATTTAGCCTATACTTTTTCAAAAATATGAATTAAAAGTTTCTCTCCCATCATTCTTTTATACTGTCAAAGGCACATCTGATTAGAAACTATATTCTGGAATTGCTCTGGTACATTTTTTTTTAAAGTTTTTATTTTCAAGTAATCTCTACATCTAACATAGGGCTTGAACTTATAACCCTGAGATCAAGAGTCACCTGCTTTACCGACTGAGCCAGCCAGGTGCCCATGGTGCTTACCTTTTCTGCTACTTCCCGCACAGACTGGACACTTGTTCCATATAGATGGTTATTATACTGGCCAGCTTCAATAAATTTATGCTCCTGGATATCTTTTTCCATCTGCTCTCTTGAAGTCACAAAATGATAATCTCTTCCATCTACCTCATAGTCTCGTTTTGGTCTAGTTGTATCTTCAATAGAAAATAACTTGAAGTGTTTAGTATTAACAAACATAACAAATCTATTTTCTGCTTAAATAATGTTTTGTTAAGTTTAACACAACAGCGATTAATTGAAACTTAAAAAGGGACAATGATATGGAGGAATAACGGATAACTTAGTATAAACCATTAAAAATGGTAATGTTTGCTTTTATGACACATGGTGACAAAATCTTAAGAACAATAATTAAGAATATTTATGTGGCTTACTTACGAGGAACACATGATCCAAATTTGTCAGGAAATTCAGAGATCAAGTCATCATTTATCCTGTCTTTCATAGGTCCCAATATGATCACTGGTCGGGTATAATTAACTGTAAAGATAAACTGCATGTTAAAAGGAATAAACACTCAACAAACATCAATGTATTTCACCAGAGAATAAAAATATCTTTAAATGTTATAAAGAATATTTTTTTCTTTCTCCATCAATGATGCTTAACTTGCTAGTTTATACACTTTTCAGATCTTAAACTTAAGTTAATCTCCCATTAGAAGTCATAAACTTGGCAATTCAACCAAGTTAAATTCAGAATTTAGCAGATAGTGTTTCTCTACAATGCTAGTATCATCTCATTACAAATGAGAAAACACCAGTTTAGTGTTTACTGATCCTTTCTGAAGTAGGAATTGTTAGGAAGCAGATCAAAGAAGGGCAAAAAAGAAACTGGGTGTAAGAAGTGATATAATTACAGGAGTGATCTAGAAAGATGATTTAATAGAAGTGGATTATACCTTACGCTGGATTGTAAAGGATTATGCTAAAAGCAGGGAGATTGATAGGATCAGAATTATGGTAGGAGGGATGAAAAGAAGGTTATAAATAAGGAAGATAATGAGAGAAGGATAAATAGGACCTAGAAACTGACTGGACAAGGGAGATGAAAACAGAGAAAGATCAAAGATGTTTACAAAATTTTGAACAAGGGTCACTGAAGGACAGTGACACTATCATAAACACTGGAAAGAAGCTGCTTAGAAAATAAAATAGCAATATAAAACAGCTAATACAAAATGACTAAATTCTAACACTGTAAACTAAACCACACTTCACAAGATACATATAGCAAATTTCTATATTTATAGAAAAAAATATAGCAAAATTCTAATAAACATTATTTTGAGGTGTAAGTTAGACCTATTTTCCAAAGTAAGAAGTATATTTTTCTATTAGATTATAAATCAACAGACTTCACAAACCTTCTTGTTGATTCACTGGCTCATAAGATAAGACATATTCTTCTTGACCACCTATTAGAAAGTTAAAATACAGATGAGAAAATCTATTAAGATAACTAATGCTAACTTAATTCATCATACATAACATATAAATTACTGGCACTTTCCTGAGAAAACAGCAAAGATGTACTTTGTGAATTATTTCCGGCAAGATTTAGTAAAAAAAAAAAAAAAAAAAAAAAAAAAAAAAAAAAAAAAAAAAAAAGTGGCAAATTATAAAGTCATAAGTTTGATAAATGTAAAAACAAAATATAAATGTGCTATTTAACAACTACTTTTCTGTTATTCTGTGTTTTAAACTATCATTAGATCTATTTAAAATCTTATTTGTGATGTCAAGCATGTGACATTAATTTTTATTCAGAAGCTGAGAACTAATAAGTCTCTTAAAGATTAACTTTTTAAAGAACAGTTCTACATATATGCATATTTATGCAATTTACTGCTATTAAGAATATGTTGTTCTTTTGGTCCCACCAGATACAATATTTAACAGGATATATTTATTTTTTTATAATTATGATTATAATAAAAAATTTAATATAAAGGTAAAACTATAGTCACTATTTTACTGGTAAAAAAAAATTCACTAATTGTTCTAATAATTCATTTATTCAATTAAAAATATAACATTTATGGGGAACCTGGGTGGCTCAGTCAGTTAAGCATCTGACTTTGGCTCAGGTCATGACCTTGCGGTTTTTGGGTTCGAGCCCTGCGTCAGGCTCTGTGCTGAAAGCTCGAAGCCTGGAAACTGCTTTTGATTCTGTGCCTCCTTCTTTCTGCCCCTCCCTCACTCATGCTTGTCTCTCTCTCTCTCTCTCTCTCTCAGAAATAAACATTAAAAAAATGAAAAAATAATATATGTGTAACATTTAAAGTGAGTTTAGTAGTGCCTGTGTGGCTCAGCTGGTTGAGTGTCCCAACTCTTGATTTTGGATCAGGTCATCATCCTGGGGTTGTGGGATCAAGCTCCATGTCTGGCTCCACGCTCTGTGTGGAGATGCTTAAGATGCCCTCCCTTTCTCTCCCTGCCCCTCTCCCATGCTATAATTAAAAAG